CCTGCAGCTTGCAGGATGATGGACAACTTCATTAAGCTAGAGAGGTGAGGAGCCCTTCGTGGGTTTGGTGGGTCTGGACCTCAGTTTGGTTTTGGTCTCCCATCAGTGATTCAGTGATTCCCAATCCGTTCCTTGGTTGGAAGCAGAAATAATTCCACTGACTCATCTGGGGCTTAATTTTTATCTTAATTATTGTCTGTAAAGGGCTTTGAAATCCTAAAGGGTCGATGCCTTGGGAGTGTGGGTGATTGTGGTGTGAGCTCAGCACAGAATTCAAGTGAGGAAACAAGTTCCCTTGGCTTGGAGAAGCAACTCCATGAAACTCTGCACAAGTATCACGAGTCTGTGGCTTTTTTCCCCTCAACTTAGTGCTAATGGATCCATTGTTTCATGTAAAGGTTTCTCCCGCTCTTGTTCTATCCTGTGTGACATTTACAGTACTCTTTGTTCCATTAGCAAAGTAATTTGAGATAGTTTATTATCCTTTGGAGACTTCACTGCCTGCTGTTTAACTTCCACATCACTGGACCCTAGAAAAAAAAATCTCTTAAAATAGTGCATGAGGCTAAAAATAGTGAGGAATTAGTAGTTTCTTAAGAGTGAAATAATTAATTTAGTGCACTTTAATATGAAGATCTTCAGCTCTAGGAAACACCACTTACTGTTTCCTCTTTCTCTTCAGAGCCACCAATATCTGTGGAGTCGAAGTGTTTCTGCCTCACAGCTTGAAACTGTAATTTGTTTGTATCAGTTACAGCTCCTTTATTTCAGGAGAAGGGAGAAACAGCATTTAATCACGTTCTGAATCACTGGGGGAAGAAATCACTCCCTGATCTGAGTTTATTACACTCTCTAGATACAAGAAAATGGCAAAGGTTGTTATTCCTTGGATTTTCTGCGATGCTGTCACTGCAGCACCCAAGGGACTGAGCCTGTTTGGGTCCTGCTCCCTGAGTGCCTCATCCCCACTCCATGAAAACACTCTTCTTGATTCCCCAGGGGCTCAGCAGTGGGATGAGTGTTGCAAAACATCAGGGTTTGCAGAGCCACACATGTGGGAAGATCTTTTTCTTGCCATTAAGACTTCACTCACTCCCAAGTTGAAGCAATGCAGGAGGGAGCAGGGATGTGAACCCAGAAAAGGAGGGGAAGTGCAGGAATTTGGCGTGTGGGCAGAGGTGGAGCAGTGGGAAACCTGTCCAATGACCTCCTGGAGCCAGGCAGGAGCTTCATCACGTCACCTTTCCAGGTGGGATCTGGACTTCCAACCTTGTCTCCAAGTCAACTGCCTGCAGCAGCACCGGCTTTGCTCCGGCTCGGGGTGCACATGGCACTGCTTGGGATAGGATGGGAGCAAAACTCATCCCTGCTCCAGCCTCCAGCTTCAGGTCTGTGCCTCCAGCTGATTTCCTGGTGGTGGAGCCTCTTTTGGCTGATTTGTGTCTGTCTCTCCAATCTGCACAGGAGGGCAGAACCGGGCAGTGTCTGGGAGAAGGACCTTGGAGCAGAAGGCTCTGTTCCTTGGCCAAACCTTCCATTACCTTGTGTGGTCTTTGGCAACTCTCTGAACACTCCATGCCTCAGTTTCTCAGCCTGGAGAACAGGATGATCCCAACCAGCAAAGCTGGATGAGTTTGCAGTGCTGCACCCCAGAGGAGGAGGGCAGGGTCTGGACCTCCTCATGGCCACTGATGTCACCCCCATCCTCTCATACTCCCACAGGGACATGCTGTAGATCCCAAATGGACAGAGAATGTCATGTATAGAACAAGCATTAATGCCCAAGGGTGCAGAGGCCCCATCCCAGCACTGGCCTCTGGATTGCTTTGTTTTCCTGCTCGGCTGAGTCGCTAACCTTCCAATAAACACCAGAGTCATTATCATAAAACTGGGGAAAATGCTGTCATTAAACCCCACTGGTTTAGTTTTCAAGTGCCTCTTTCTGGGACATCAAATTCATTTAGATCATTCTCCAAAGCCACAAATCCTGAGTGGCTGCAGTAATGTGTGTGGTGGGAGGTGAGAGCACCACGGGAATTAAATCGGGTGGAGAGGGCTCTTCACAGAGCTCGGTGAGGTTTGTTGCAGGGGGGGAAGATGTGATGCCTCCAGCTGGTCACCCTTCTGACCCCTCAGTCCTAAGGTCCCTTGGGATGTTCTCCAGAAACCCCAGTTCATACTCTGATACCTCAGCTTGGAGCATCCAGAGGGATGGGGAGCTGCAGCAGAGCCTTCCTCTTACAAAAAGATAGATTTTGTTCCAACAGAAAAGAATAAAACCTTAAATCCTTTCAGCAGCAGAAGCATAGAGTTAAATCCCTATGGTTAAGTTTTCCAGAGAAGCTGTGGCTGCTCCATCCCTGGAAGTGTCCAAGACCAGGTTGGACAGGGCTTGGAGCAACCTGGGCTAGTGGGAGGTGTCCCTGCCCGTGCCGGGAGGAGGAACTGGATGAACTTCAAGGTTCCTTCCAACCCAATCCATCCCATTCCCCTTCACCTCAACAAGTATGGAATAAAATCATTAAGTGTTTGTCTGAGCACTGGGGTGGCTGAACAAAATTTTGTCTCAGTGTTTATGTAGTTGATAAATCTGATTTGGGGGCCAAAATCTTTTGGGTTTAAGTGAAAACATTAAAATAGGGTTTTTAAAAGGGCTTAGGGTCAGCTGGCCCCTGCACGGGGTTGATAAGCACTTGCAGTTCATAGAAACAACCCATGTCCTGGAAAGTCTGTAGATTTCCATAGGAACCAGGACTTGTTCAAAAGTTTTTTATCTCCCAAAAATAACCAGGATTTTGTTCCTCTGGGGGAGTTCCTGGCACAAGACCTCCTGGGAGCAGCACGGTGCCATGTGTCCGCTGACGTGCTACGGAATCTGCGGCAGCATCGGCTTCTGCGAGGGGAACAAGAATCCTAAAATTATCCTTTAGTTACTTAGAGTATAAATAGAATTCAAATTGCTTATCAGCTGCTTCATTTGAAAGATATTTAAAAATACTTGGGAGAGGAAACTTGCACTCCGGTGGAGATCCGGAGCCACACTGTACCCAAAGGATCTCGGTGCCTTGAGGACACAACTGTGGGGATCAATCCGTGCACTGGGAGGAAAGAGTTCAGTTCATGGAGAGTTTATCAGCGTGATGAGTTATTCAGGTTATGCCAAAAATACGTGTAAGGGACACTTCATGCAGATCTCTGGGAATGGGAAAATCTTCCATTCCCGGGTGGGAAGGCTGAGCCCGTGTTGGAGTGTGGCTGCAGTGAAACAAACCTGACTGTGTCCTTGAGCACAGGAGACAGGAACAAGCCAGGATGAGCATTCCCAATCGATTCCAGGTGCTTCCCAATCGATCCATCTCTGGTGAGGAGAAGGGTGTGTTATGGCTTTTATGGAGTGAACAAACCTGGCAGTGTGTGTCCCATTGTTGGGGACGATGGGATGGGATGGTCCGTGTGCTGTACCACTGCCATTCGTTAATGGCTCTACTAAATAGGAGAGTGGTGAGGCTGTTCTAATGCCCAGAGCACTCAGAGGGTGACAAAAATAGCCCATTCAGCAGGGATTGGCTCAGAATAAGACGTGTCCTTACTGTAAACCTGGATGCTTCCAAGAACTTGGGCTATGGATGAGTTGGACTCTCTGGTCTGGTTCATTACAGGAATGAGTTGTGCTCTGCACAGACGTAACTTCCAGCATCCACTCCAGAAATTCTGGGTCCTTGTTTTACCAGCTGGGAATTGCACTCACTCCCAGCCTTCCTGGAAGAGGAAAACCATGAGGATCCTCACTGACCATCTGACACCTCCCCATGGCTGCTTTGTATTGTTCTCCTTCTCTTCTTCATCTGCCAGCCCCGCACTCTCTGATCCCTGCCTGCCCAAGGGGCTGGTTCCTGCAGGAGGAGGATGTTGCTTGGCTGGGATCCCTCTCTCTGAGGGGTCTCCAGCAAGGCTCTGTCCCCGACATGAGCCTGGAAACACATCCCCAGGAGTGGAGGGTCACAGAACACCAACGTCTGCAAGCTGGGCTGGTGAAGAGAACTTCCACTGGGAACTTGGGCTTGCTGGGCAGGAGAAGATGGGGCTGGATGGTGAAGGGCTGGGGATCCCAGTGATGAGAAGGAGCCTGTCCTGATTCCCTTGGAACATGTTAAAATATTATCAACGAGGAGAAATATCAACCTCTGCCCAGAGAAGCTGTGGCTGCCCCATCCCTAGTAGTGTCCAAGGCCAGGTTGGACGGGGCTTGGAGCAACCTGGGCTAGTGGAAGGTGTCCCTGCCCATGGCAGGGGATGGAATAGATGGCCCTTAGGGTCACTTACAACCCAAACCATTCTGTGATTTTAAATGGGCACACAGGAGCATGGAAAATGCTGAGAATAAAATTAATCAAGTTACTGAAAAAACCCCAGAGATTATTTAGTCCTGGTCCAATGTATAAAGCCAAGAACTCAGCTAATAGACAGGAGGAGCTGGAATTGCTCCTTGGTGACCATAAACTTGACCTACTTGGTTTTGTTAAGGAATCTGGGGGGGGGGAAGGTCACCTGACTGGGATGGCAAAATTCATGGTCTTTAAGAACTGAGTGGCAGAAGAGGAAAGGAAGCAGCCCGGCAGATCCACGGCAAATGGTCTGGAATGCTTTGCCGCAGGGACCAAGGAGGATGCTCGGGATGCTCAGGGGTGCTCAGAGGATACTCAAGGCCACGGGGAGGATCCTGCCGGTAGCAAAGAGGATGCTCAGGGATGCTCGGGGTGCTCTGTGATGCAGGGGACGCTCAGGGATGCTCAGAGGATGCTGGGGGCCATGGGGAGGATGCCGGCATCCCGGGGGGAGGCTGCCGGGGGAGGGCGGCCGGGGGCTGCCGGGGCGGAGCCGCGGGGGCCCCTCCCGACGGCGCTATAAACCGGCGGGGCGCGGGCGCGGGGCAGCCGTCGCTGGGGCGCCCGGGGCCGGGGCACACCCTGCCCGCACCCCTGCCCGCACCCCTACCCGCACCCCTGCCCACACCTTGCCCGCACCCCTGCTCGGGCCATGGGGAGGGGGCAGCTGTCGGGGGGCGCCTGGGGGACCCTGGTGCTGCTGGGGCTGATCCTGCCGGCCGCCCCGGCGGGCGCCTGGTACAAGCACGTCGCCAGCCCCCGGTACCACACGGTGGGTCGCGCCTCGGGGCTGCTGATGGGGGTCCGCCGCTCCCCCTACCTCTGGCGGCGGGAGCTGCCGGCCGAGCCCCCCCGGCACCCGGAGCCGCCCCCCGGGGACAGCCCCCCGCGCCCGGGCCGCCCCGCC